GGGAACATAGGACCCAGGGAACATAGGGATGACCCCATATAGGTAGCTTGAATAATAATAGCTAAAGCAAGTTACAACCATGGCAACGGCTGAGCATTTAGATTCAGCGGTTGGTATTAGACAAGTTACTACAATGGTTAATAAGAAATTGTTCCAGCACATAACTGCCAGCTGAACCACAATCTGCAATATTTAGATTTGAACGTGCTGGTATGTGTACTTTTGAGCTCTGGATAAAGCAAGGCAGCGCTCTTTGCTTTCAGTTTTCATGCTAAGCTAAGTTAATTGACATGATGGTGGTGTTAATAATCTCATCTAAAAGGGAGAAAAAACATATTTCCCAAAACGTCCTATTCCTTTTTAAAGTATAGCTTTATGTTTATGCAACAAGCCTGTTCCTAACAGTCATCCAAAAATATCTTTTTCTATTAGCTCATCTCTGGTGATTATATTTAATCACACTTTAATTCACTTTCTGTCTGTTTTTTTGACGTCTCGGGGGCCTCAGACAGTCAGTGTCCACTGTCTGCTTCTAACCTTTATTAACTATACACTGGTGGTAACATTACACTACAACAACACCAGCCTCAAATGACATGGGAAGACTAAGTACATATGTACACATACATCAACACACACATGCCTTCAGGGTTTCCTGGGGCGACATGCTGTCAACCCGTCACTCAGGTTATGGCTGACTCTCACTGGTACTGTTATGTTTGGTCTTTTCTCCTAACTTACAGTATTGGTGTGTGGCAGGCTTCAGGTACACAGTTAGTGCACAATACCTATTTCACTTTTATTGTTCTTAATGTGTCAGTCTCTATGTTTAAACATCTTTCTCCTCTTTTCCCTGTCTTCACCTCTTTCTGTATCTTGCCCTGTATCTGGGTGTTGTTGCCTCATCACATAGACCCTGAAGCTAAAAACATCCAAAGGGGGAAACAATATGTAATCACTGCCACTTAAACCTCCTCGGCGTAATGCACTGTATATTTCTGTTTTTCTCTTGTTCTTTGTGTGCATCTGAGAGGAGATGGGGGTTGTGCTTCACGAGGTGAGGTGACAACATGCTTTTCTCACTTTGCTCCGGATTAATTAGCCTTGAAGATCAAACAACCAACAGCTTACACACAAAAACCCCATCAACCCTTTCCCCCCAGAAACAATTAAGATGCTCCCAATCTGTCTAGTACTTATTACTTCGTGCCATCTGACCAGACTGCCATCAGACACCTTAGCGGGGGTACAAAGGTAACTCCCATGGCAATATTCTCTCCATCTGCTTATCATAGTGGAAGAGGAACATGTTTACTGGAACAGCTTTGTCAGAGGTTTCACAGTAGTGAAGATTAACTAGAGATAGGAGCTGACAAGTGTGATAAAATGCAGATTAAGATCTGATTCCTTTATTAGAAGCTCCAGTATGCAAATTATATTACAAAGTGTGTACACAATGTAGAAACTTAAAGCCTCCAGTGCACATACACTGAGAATGGACTACAGTGAAGAAGGAGACATCTTGTGTCAGAAAATTTGCATATTCATATTCTGGAATTTATAATAAGGTAGGAGTAGATGTCTTTTTAAGGATTTTTATGTGTTTTAATGTTTAATTATTCTTTATTTGTGGAAAAACATTAAACACATATCAGAAACAGATTGTTCCAAGCAGACTATTTGCATATGTCTTAATATGCGTCTGGAGGGAATCTTTAAGAATGTCTTGAAGCGCTGTCAGACTACAGATGCATTAGAAAGAGCAGGCCGAAGAGCTGATGATGAGAATAAATATAATAACAAAGTGAATATATTTGTGGATTAGCAGCATTCTTCACTATCAATAATATTAGCCATATCAACTGTACATTGCTTAAGCAAGTATAAAGCCTACACTAGTGTAATCATTTGTTACATAATGAGGTTGTAATAAAAAAAAAAGCTATAAACTACTGGCCCTTCACCATCTCTTTCATAAAACCTGGACATACAGAAAAGCAGCCATATGCACCCAGGCACACTGGAACGTTTTCCTCTATGATCCCTGGGTCAAGACCTTTGTTCTAACCAGACAATGCTTCTGAGGTAATGTACTTTTGTGTAACCTGGGGATGCACTGCCACCTAGTGGTCAAATCAATGTCAGCAGTGCAGCAAATCCTGATTATCAAAAAGAGACCATGGAGTATTCCCGCATATTAATTAAAAACAATTACAAGCGTGATTTAAACCACATGTTATCCAACTTATTTCATTTTAATATGTTTGTCTAAGTGTCATTTTTCATGCTCCGTGGTAGAAACGACATAGGAACCATCAGCTGTTGCTTGTTTCCCCAGGTGGAGGCGGACGAGTCGCTGAAGGAGCAAATCAAAATGGCGAGCCAAGAGGAGTCTGTGAGGGAGTTCGTCGCTGTTACTGATGTGGATGAGGAGAGGGCCCGGTTTTTCCTGGAGTCCGCCGGCTGGAATTTGCAGGTGGGTCTCTGTGTGATATTTCCACTGAGTTGCGGTGAAGTGTAGGAAGGGGAATCCAAAGAAACAGCGGTGACATGACATGTGTCAGACGGATAGCTCGCCGGGCTAACGTTAGCCTGTGTTGCCGGCAATTTGTGCAAGTCACCCTTTGACAATGGCCCGACCGCTTTCTGTCGCCAACAACAAGGCTGCTGTACACTTAGTTGACGGACACCGTCACTGTTTCAACAAGGTCCTTCCCTGTTGTTTCATTACAAAACCGGTTGCCATGAAGTTTTAGCTAACACCTTGTCTGCAGTCAGTCCATTGAGCCGTGCTAGCTAGCGTTAGCGCAAAGCTAGGTTCATGTTTAATCTAGCAATAAACACGGGTTAGCTTGTACTGCTGCAGTGTCAGCTGTTCAAGTATTATCGTTAAGTAAGACAATGAACAGGAACTTTTAACCCCTCTTTAATGGTGGAGTCTAGCACATAGAGAAAATGAAACGGACTGATACCGCCTGCATGTTACAAAAGAGAAAGACAAATGTGATTTAATAGCTGGGCCTCTGTTAAGATCTGCTGTGGTACATAGATGGAAGCTAGTTGACTTTTACATGAGCTACTGATTTAAAGCTGCAGTAGGTAACTTTTATAAAAATAACTTTTTGTCATATTGTCTGAAGCGTTCACTGTATCCTGACAGTAGAACATGAGACAGATCATCTGTAAAACAATAAGGAGCCTCTGACTCTTCCTAGTGCTCCTAATGGCTCCAGGGCCTGAACGAAAACAACCAATCAGAGCCGAGAAATGTATAAAGACACTTTGGGTAGGTTGCTAGAAGATGCTTCATTGTTGAGTCTCATTCCCAGGGTCTGTTTTTGAATGAGACTCAACAATCAATTGTGTGTCTTGGCTCTGATTGGTTGTTTTCATCCAGGCCTGGTGGATTCTTGCAGGTGCCATTAAGATTACTAGAACAAGCCAGAAGAGCCTGATTTATTATTATTATTATTTTTTTTAAATTATTTATTTTTAGATTATCTGTCTCTCGTGCTAATGTCAGGATACAATGAAAGGTTCAATAAATACAAAAAAAAATGTCATAAAAAATGACCCACTGCGGCTTTAAAGGTCGACAGTAACCCTAGCAATTGTTAGATCATTAGTCACGTTTGGTAAGTTGTCTGTCAGGATGTTGTTGTGACATTGTTAGACCCATTTTGTCTCCTCCCAGCTTGCACTCGCCAGTTTCTTTGAGGATGGAGCTGATGACGACATAGTGACGCTCCCTCAGCCTGAAGGAGGCTCCTCGGTGTCCCGGTCTGCAGGGCCAAGGTAATACTGCTTTCATTAACACCAGCCATTTATTTGTTCGCACACACATAAGCTGCTGCTTTGTTGGTGCAAAGTCCAACAGTCCAGTTTAGCAAACAGTCCTGGGCGCATACTACGTTCATTACATGAAGTAAACGTGAATGTCTTTAAAGGGTAATTGTTCATCATTTATTTAATATTGTAACACGCAATCCATTGCATCAAGCCTATATTTGTGTTTTTCATCAGCACTCAGCCCAGAGTGACCTCCTTCAGAGATCTGATGCATGAGGCAGAGGAGGAGAGTGATGAGGAGGAAGGCCAAAGGTAAGTGTGATCCCCAGTATGGTCTGCTTATCTGTCTTTAGCAAACATTGCATTCACTTTCCTTTATTCTGCAGTGATAGATTTGATCAGCATCCAGTAGATATTTGTCTGTCCCGAGAGACTCGAGGTTAGATTAGTTATAAAAGATTGTGTGTGTGTGTGTGTGTGTGTGTGTGTGTGGTAGGGACTGTGTCATGCTCCTGGACTCTTCAGTGGGATAACGACAAGTTAATAAATATAGTCACTGCTCTGTTGATTGTGTGTTGTGACAATAGCCCCTGGAGGTCCCTCTCCTCCTCCTAAATGACTGTAGACATGGCTGTCTGACTGAGCTGAACATCCTCACAGTGTTTGGAAGGCACAAAGTCACACCTAGTGGGGCGATTCCAGAATGCACCAAACTATTTTTGGTCCCCCTTCATTCACTGTGAGCTGGTTGTGCTTTTCTGCTGCATCGACAGATTCTGCTGCTGGGGCAGTGCAGTGGACTGGTTGTTAAGGGGACTGTGGGGGCTTGCTAATGTCCTTTTAGCCCATTTGTATTACAGTCAGTAAGCAGGTTAAACTAAAGAACAATTATTATCTATATTATATTATCTAGAGTCAAATATAATGCCATACATAATTTACTTTTTACCCCAGTTCAGTTTTGCAATGCACACTGGCTTTGATATTTACCTGTTTTTACCTGCTTTGCTGCCCCAAAATGATGTAATTTCACTCATTTATAGGATAAAGCTCACCAAGTCTTTTGTACCTGGTGAAATACCTTTTTAATTCAATTCAATTCAATTCAATTCAATTCAATTTTATTTGTATAGCGCCAATTCATAACAGAAGTTATCTCAGGATGGACACTTTTCAAATAGAGCAGGTCTAGACCGACTCCTTTTAACATTTACAGAGACCAACAGTACCACTCATGAGCAAGCACTTGGCGACAGGGGCAAGGAAAAACTGCCTTTTAACAGCAGAACCTCGGACAGACCCTCTCTCAACCCAACAGTTGGGGTGAGAAAGAGAGAAAGACAGACAGACAGAGACAGAGAGAGAGACAGACAAGACAGACAGGTGCATACGCAACAACAGTAATGTGGTAAATGGCAATCGCAGCAGGACCATGGCAGAAGGCTCCACCAGGATCCATGAGAACCTGCGAGACGACAAAGCACAGAACTCCGGGGAAGAAGTGAAGTTAGTAACATGCATTAATGGGACATGAATGAGTGCAGAAAGAGAGAGAGAGGAAGAGAGGAGCTCAGTGCACCATTGGGAAATCCCGCGATAGTCTAGGCCTAAATAGCAGCATAACTAAAGGATGGTTCAGGACTCACCTGTCCAGCCCTAAACTATAAGCTTTTTAAAAGGGCCAATATAACCCAATAACATGCCATTTTCCACCCTGCCAAGAATGTGATATTATTTCGTGTCCGACTTCCTGCCAGTGCAATCTGCTCTGTGCTGCTTGAATCGCAGCTTCCGTAAAAAATAGACCAGGCACGTATTCTACGCAGAGCAGAGTGGAGAGACGCATCTGGGACGCACTGCGGCGCTTCTCATGCAATATCGAGCAACGGGCGGGATCAGCTCTGTCAACCGCTGCGGATACTGGAATGTGTTGCACCTGTGTGCATGTAGGCTTGTTTACACTGATCGTGAGCCACCTCTGAATGATGACAGTTGTCTCAGAAACACAGTGAAATCTTTGGTTGTTAATCATAAATGGTTGTCGTGGATCGTACTGTGAGACACGTCCAATGATGGTCCAATTCACCACACCATCAGGAAGTGGACCTTTTGGTTATTTTGTCTTCTGATTCTTGCTATCACACAGCTTATAGGCCTCTCAGTGTGTTGGCTTGTGTGTCTGTTTATCTCACATTGTGGAGGAATTCAATACCATCTTTATTAACACATGGGCAGGTTTTTTGCGGGAGGATCAGAGCGCAGTGGGCAGCAGATTGTTGGGCCTCCCAAGAAGAAGAGCTCCAATGAAGTGGTGGAGGATTTGTTCAAGGGGGCCAGGGAACATGGAGCTGTGCCTCTGGACCGGACTGGGAAAGGGCCAGGAGAGCTTAGCAAATCCAAGGTAGCGTGAAACTCACCAGACCAATGTCCCTTTACAAGCTCCTTCTGTATTGTGGCTTTTTTTAAATTCTCATTTTGATTTTATTGTCCCCTCTCAGCCCTTCCTTGGGGGAGGCTACAGGCTAGGTGCAGCTCCTGAGGAAGAGTCAGCTTATGTGGTTGGCGAGAGGCAATCCTCCAACAGCCATCAGGATGTGAGTACAGACCCTGATGGGTCCTCATGCTTTGCTGCTGTGCAGTTCTTGCTGTGTTTCTGGCATCATTAGCACTAGTCATTCCTCTGGGTGGCTCTAATAGAATAAGTGATCAGTAAATAACTGCTAAATCTTTGAGATCATCACAGTGAGTCAGGACATTTAACTTAAACAGCTGTGTTTTTACACATAAGTAATAGCATTGTTTACTATGAAACCTTGTGATAATTCAGACATATCAGACGGTATCATGCTGTTATTGATGTTGTCCAATCATGTATGGCTTCAAACTATTGCTTTAAACTAGACAATCTATATCAATAGATTTGGCACTCATTCCTTCTTTAAGTTTTTTAGTCAGCTTAATAATATGCTGCATAAACTACATAATAATGAAGTGCAAGGCTGTGGCTATTTCTCACTAGAAAAGATTTGTTCATTAAATATTACCTGGACTAATTGTAGGTCAGTAGCATCCATATTGAAGAATCACCTCTGTAGTACTCTGTGTGTGTGTGTGTGTGTGTGTGTGTGTATGTTAGGTCCACGTGGTGCTGAAGCTGTGGAAGACAGGTTTTAGTCTGGATAACGGCGAGCTCAGAATTTACAGCGATCCTGGCAATGCCAACTTCCTTGAGGCAATCAGAAGGGGGTGAGATTATTTGACCTGTTTTAAGTCACATAGGTCCATCATAGGTTCATGAGGACACATTATGTCCTTAATGTTTATTTGAAAACATGTATAGACTTTGTCATCTGCTTGAAGGGCACACATTGAGAGCGCTGGTAACATTATCAATTGTCACCCCGCAGAGAGATTCCCCTTGAGTTGAGGCAGCGATCTCGAGGGGGTCAGGTGAACCTAGACATGGAGGACCACAGGGACGAGGACTTCAGCAAACCCAAGGTGGCCTTCAAGGCCTTTGGAGGTGAAGGACAGAAGTTGGGAAGGTGAGTCTGATTCGCAGTCTTGTTGTCTTATTGAACAATCTCTCTTGGATTTCACAGGGTTTTTTTGGGGATCATTTGCAGCCTAAAATGCCTGATTTCACAGCAACTTTTCTATAAAATTGTGATACATGTTGTGATGGTTTTTGCCATTTTTTTTTGCAATGAAAATTGTAAATTGCCCAAAAATAGTTGCGATTATTATAATTTTTTGTATCATACATTAAAAATCAACTTTTTCCAATGAGAATTAAATTACACTGTTTTGAGACGTTTGCATCACACGTGTCTGCAGCTTCACAACTAGAAACATGGAAGTGAGTTTGGTGACGTATGGCAAGGAAACAAAAGGAAAAAATGTGCATTAATAAACTTTGAAATGTTCTGGAAGGACCGGCTGAACAGTTTCTGTTTTGTTAAAATGTTACCGAGCAAAGACAGCTGAATACAAGCTCTAAATCAGTCTTACTTGTTCTAATGAATCATCTGTGTGTCTGGGTATTTACACACAAATGACTGGTTTCTACTCATGTGACTGTCAAAGCACATTTAAAGGACCAGTGTGTTTGGATCTAGTGGCATCTTAGTGTAATTGCATTCCAGGCGTGTAGGAGAAACTACTGTTACAAACTGGACATCAAATTTGTATTTATTCCAAACATTAAATATTTAATCAAAGTAAAATCTGCTCATCGAACTGTGATTGTGAAGAATTACAGTACACATGGCATTTTAAATACATTACTTTTTAAAATCTGGTTTATTTTAAGTGCTGTTAAAATCCCCCTGTACTTAAAGAAGAAGAAGAAGAAGAGAGACAACTTGAGATTTAAACGTCAATTTAGGAGCAGAAATGGAATACAATATTCAAAGGTGTTTTTATTAGTGTATAATCACCTAAAAATAAGACTGGTTGTGTTTTTTGTTACCTTAAAGTGAGTCTGCCATGTTGAACTGCCATGTTTCTAGCGCAGAACAGACACAACAAACACTGGCTCTAGATAGGGCCTAGGGCTGCACTATTATGGCCAAAATGATGATGATTATTTCACAATTACAAAGCACCTGTGGTGTAAGTTGTTTTGGTTTTCTTTGAGCCAAGCACACATTTTAAATGTGAATATTGTAGACAGTCCTGTTAATTTAATTGTGGGAAGACAAAATTGTGATTGTGATTAATACTGTGATAACTCTACAGCCCTAATAGGGCCTTAACGTTGGGTGAACTGTATTCAACTGGTCAGTACCAGCTTTGCTCTTGTTCTTTGGCCCCATAATGAATGCCAAGCAACACCTGTGTAACACCTTACCAAAAGAACATTTTTGACACATTGTCTCAGCTAACATATTACATGCATATATCATGACCACAAGTATCAAGTCAAACTAAATTCTCATCTTTTCCATCCTGCCCCTCCTCTCTCCAGTGCCACTCCAGAGTTGACTTCAACTCCTACCACCTCCCAGCAGGACCAGGCTGCCAACGAGGCCCAAGCCAGCGCCTCTGTGGCCCTCGACCCCTCCCAGCCCGTCACTAACATTCAGGTCCGACTGGCTGACGGCGGCAGGCTGGTCCAAAGGTTCAACCATACCCACAGGTGACTGATTAGCTCCTTTCAACTTGGCATGTACACAAGTTCAACATCTACACTTGAGTTTCTGCAGGTCTGTTTACTGACCTATTTATGACAGCAGACCTACATATTGTATATTTAGACTGAACCCTGGTGTTGCTCTGTTTCTGGTGAGAGCCCAAGTGCTTCAAATGTTAAAACACAATTTGATTGCAAAAGCTAAGTATTAAGATTTGACCTTCTTAACTTTTCTTAACCTATGTTTTTACCAGCAGCTCAAGAACACCAAAGCTTTATTTAATAAATATGTCCCACATACTGCTTTTTCTGTTAAATGACGCTCAAATAATAAAACAGTTCAGTGGTCAAGGGTGGCAAAATGCGAGCAGATGGGTTTAAAGTAATAGTTTGGGTATTTTAAAGTGGGGTTGTGCCACGTTGGTTTCACTTTTGATGCCTCCTCCACACAAGGCTCACCTGCTTTTATGAAAACGGAATCGAGAATGGAAACATAAGTTGAGGTTTTTTTGGGCGACATTATGAAACAAACTCCTAGAGACACAGAATCAGAGAGAGAGAGACACAGAGTCAGAGAGAGAGACAAACAGAGAGACACAGAGAGAGACACATACACCGCATATAGTCTAAACGTGTTTCAACAGCAATCAGTCCCCAAGTTGGTAATGTTGTTTGGGTCATAAATGTCGACCACATTTCACCTTGTCCCATACTTCCTCTCATGGCGGTTGCTGTTTTCCCCTTCAGGGTGTCTGACCTGCGGCAGTATGTGGTGGCGGCCCGGCCCGCCATGGCCGCCAGGGAGTTCATCCTCATGACCACCTTCCCCAACATGGAGCTGTCAGATGAGAGCCAGACTCTGCAGCGGCCAACCTCCTCAACGCCGTCATCGTCACACGGGCTTAATAAGGAGGAGGAGGAGAGAGAGGAAGAGACCCCCCGCCCGCCCTCCCCCCTACCTCCCTCCCCTGGTGGTGTGGCTCGAGCAACTGCAGCCCTGTGAAACCTGCTGCCCCTTCTGAGGGAGGAGAAAACACGGACTTATGTATGGACTTCTAATTTCTGATTTTTGTTTTTCTAAAGTGAAACGTAACATTCTGCTCCCCAGATCCCCCCCACATGTCTCCCTCCCCCCTCTGTGGTCTGTGACGGGCAGTAATGGGGGGGCGGGGGAGTAAAAATCTTCCAGAATGGAATCAAGTTCATTTAAGAGCTGTTGGAAAGCTTCCAGATGCTGCTGTATTGTGGTTTTGATGGGGATGTGTGTTCCTGACTGCAGTAGATGGTTTAACCCAAAAACACAGCAGCAGTGCAGCTTTCTGCCATCACTAAACCTTCCTCTTTTTTCCATTAACTTGCTCCACACTTTTCCTCTTCTATTAACCTTAATTTGGCCCATAAGCTCTGTTTACTATCAGGTGCTGGGCCCTTCATGCAGCAGCAGACTCCCAGCGTGTTTCTGTCTCAACAGCACAAACCAGAACCACATAAGGAATACTAGTCTCATTAAGGTCAAGTACATGTTGATAGTGTGGTTTTGTACGAGTTTGCATTTCTCTCCACATATTCTCTTTGGAGAGAGAAGTGTAATCACGTAACAAAACACTGAGGGTTTTTTCCCCCCTCCAAACCAACCTAAACCAGTAGCCTTACGCTCCTTAATTCACCTCCAGATCTACACCTGTCCCTTTGTTCAAGTGAAGATGGAATTATTTTTTTAAACTGCCTTTTTTGTTTTTCCTTTTTCTTCTTTTTTTCCTTTACAGATTGTAGGATTGTCCCAGTTAGACAGTGGCATTTTGATATTGTGTAACATGAGAAACAGTTACACATGGCTTTATTATCAAACCAAGGGTCGAACAAAAGAACATATAGATTGTAAACACTGGTTTGTAGTAGTGGAAGTTACTATGACACACTGACATCTTCTATGCATCCTGGGGCGACACAGAAATTGGTTTGGACCTCTGGTAAAATAAATCCATTTTATGGTTGATGTATAAAGAACTTATCGTCTTGTGTTTTTATTCTAGGTGGGAAAAGAGATTTCATATTTCTTCAGTAGATCTCCTAATCAGATCATTTTGTTTAATAGCCACATTTTGCAAATGCAGATTTATTTTCTACAGTGGAAACAGGATTCCTTTATCTTGTAGTCCTCTTAACTAGTTCTTATATGTACTTTCAACATCCAAGTAAGGTCCAAGTGGACACTGCCAACAGGCTGTGTGCAGCAGATGGGTCACACAGAATATTTTATATGTATGCGGTATGTAAAAAAACTTAAAAGAAAATACCTGCAGAATGGTCCTAAGCTTTTGCTACTTTTTGGCTGATCACATTATTTTTTAAATGTGGCTCATACCAGATTCCTGTGTGAACAGGTCACAGGTCTGAACTGACCCACGTGTGAATAAAAATGGGTTCTATGGGTACCCACAAGTCTCTGCTTTGCAGACATGCTAATCCCATTCAGTTTTTTACATGTGGTATAAATTTTACTTTCGCCTCGTGTGTCTGGATTACTGCAGTATTTCTGGGGTCCATAAACACTATTGGAATTGCATAAATTGGGAATAACTGGAAAACTGAGAGACATGCCTAATGCCAACTCTGCATAAGTCTGGCCCCCCAGTGGGTAACACATGTAGTACATGCACTGTGAATGCTTCGCTACACCTACTGTAAATACAAAAAAACCCACATCTATACTTGCACATGTGACTAATAAGTGTAATGTTTGTGTATTAGACATGTTGCTGTTGGTCCTCCTGCTGTGTCTGTACCAAATAAGCCTGAGATTGCTTCACTGGATGTTCAGTATAAGTCCAGTCAGTCAGGGTGTCCGTGGAGTCTTAAAACCTAAAGTTTAGGCCTTATAAATTCTTAAATATATTGGTTTTACATTCCAATTATGTAATCCATTGATTAGATAAATGAAGTTAACATTTCTTGTATTAAGTTGCATATTTCAGTCTTGCTTTTAAATGTGTATTTGGGAAATATTTGTATTGAAACTACATAACGAAACCAACATCGAACAAATACCGGTTTCCTTCATATCCTCTGTACTTAATGAAAAATGGGTCTTAAATTGCATTCATAACAGTCTTAAAAAGGGCTTTAAAAGTCTTAATTTGAACCTGTTCACACTTGCATTCCCAGAGGCCATGCACACCCACGTGAACCCTCCATGACATGCACTTGCCGCCAATTATCTGTTCTTGTGACCTCAGCATAACAACACCCCCGAAAATTATTGAGCTGTAATTTAATGAGCTGTGACGAAAGTTAGAAAACAACAGCTAAAAAGTGAATGTTCCTCTGCTCCCTCAGTTAGAATGTGACTCATAAACAGTCATCATTAATAATCTACTCATTTTTAATTTCTTGCCACGTTCTAATTGTTCCTGTGGATATTAGAAGCTTTCATTGCTTTTGGTTTGTGCAGGACAGAGGATGCAGGTGTTGCTATGGATGCAAATGTGCGGAGTGTGTGAGAGTCTGCTGGGACAGAAGGATGCTACAACTCAGAGCTGTTCACCTAAATTAGCCCCATCTCTCCATGCCTGCCTGCCTCGCTCGCCCTCTCTTCATTAGTTCTACACTGCAGTGTGTTCTCTACAACAGCCTCACATCAACTGCAGGCAGTGCACTGTAATAATCTGTGCTCCTTCTTGAAGGCTGGGTTTTGTATTTTTTAATATTTTATGAAGATGAACCTGATGTGACAATGAACCAGTGAGATTAGAGTTTGTTATTCAATGGAATAAACAACTCCTCACACACACTTTGTACAGTGTCACACTGTACACACTAACCACCAGATGTCAAGTCAGTCATAGATGCAAAAAAAATCACCAAACTTAATTTGCCTTCAAAATAAAAGCATGTTTTCTCACCTAATTCTCCCATAAGTGCTCCAGAAGTGGCAGGAGACTGTGCTATGCTAAGTTGTTACACGTTTTTCTATAATTAAGGCAATTACAACAGAGTAGTCCAGTGTGTAACATTTAGGAGGATCTGTTGTCAAAAATATAATATAATATTCATAGGTATGTTTTCATTGGTGTATAATCACCTGAATACAAGAGATTAAGAATTGTATTTCTGTGACCTTAGAATGAGACATTTTTATCTACAGAGGCCGCTGATCGACTTCCATGGAGAATGCCATATCTAACCGCCATGTTTCTACATGTTTTTAATTTTTCGTATGTTTCGGGGCCATCCTAGTTTCTCCTTCAAGCTTGGAAGGGGAGGGTGAAGCAAGGGAGGTGCCATATGTAACTACAGCGCTAGATGCGACTAAATCCTACACACTGCACCTTTAATAAAGTGTCAGTGCTGTTATCAAAATGTAAACATAACAGCCCCCTCTAGAGATTGGTGGAAAATAACAATAATGGATTCAAAATGCATAAATAAGCATTTAAGAGAAGAACTTCAGCATCATAATGAAATGTCACCTACAACGAAAATCTTCACCCTCATCATAACATTGCTTGGTGAAATGCATGGTTATCTCCTTTTGAATTGTGTAGCACAGATAAAATAAGAGAAATCCATTTTAATATTTAACATAATATATCCCTGCAGTAAGGGCAATTTATTCCCAAAATTGATGTTACGTTCTATTAACCCAGAATTGATTCTACACTTGCTTTATGACTTCCCCTAATGACTACTGACAGATAGACAAGTTACTCTGGTGGAAGGATTAGAACTTAATCTTAATGTAACATTAACTCTCTCATGTTCTGTTGTGAATCTTACACACCTAATGGGTACATTCGACACACAAAGTCTTCCCCTTATATGAATCCATCAGACTGTCTCCTGAACAATTGTAACTTATTTTTTTTCTGTTTACTTATTGCATATCGGATTTATAAACCCTATCACTATTATATTATATTTGTTTTTCATTATTACCTATTAATTAATTATGCTTATTTGCTTGATCTCAAGTATTAAAAAAGGAATTGCAATCATAGCTGTTCTTGATTTCTCTAAAAACAAATGTTTTGGCTCATTAACAGTTTGCATCGATCATTTTGAGTTATGACAACTTCAAATTAAATTATGTTCTACAAGTGTACTACATTGAGTTAGGGAAATTAGCATTTCCTCAACAGTAAAGATATTTTAAATTACCACTTACTTGATAAGTTGTAGAATAAAAAAGTTGGTTGCTTAGGCTACACTGTAAAAGCAGTTAATTTAACAAAAACATTGTTGAAACAAAAATAAGTAATACAAACAAAATTTTGTAAGTTAAAACATTCTTAATATATTAGCTTTAGTAAAATTAAATGACACTAAACGTTTCTTTGTACTGTGAAAACACCTAGTAAAAAGTACTTCCACAATTTTGTTTGTGTTACTAAAAATAGTGTTACTTAAACTTTTAAAAGAAAATGCATGTTTGATGGTTTTATAAAGTAGCGTGATTTATTTTTGATTCGTGTTATTGTGGAACTCCTCCTCTGTGGCCACTAGGGGCGTTCTCACCGGCTGAAATCCCTCAGCTGTACGGGTTTTATTTTGGAGGTGGTGGGCGGAAGCGTTGTTGTGTAACGTGAGTAATTGACGCTGGTCTCCCTGCAGAGAGAGAGAGAGAGAGAGAGAGAGAGAGAGAGAGACAGCTGAGAACATCCGCTGGAGGAGCAGACAGACAGACTGCGGGAAGAGTGCTGCCGGGTGCTGGGACAGAACACGCCGCTAAAATGGGAGTGGAAATCGAGACTATAACCCCGGGCGACGGTAAAGCGGCTGCACGGAAAGGAAACGCGTTTGTGTCGAGCGCACATTTGCACTTCTCTGTTTGCATGTTTATCTAATACAGCCGCAAGAACACCGCCTTAATTGCGTAGTGTGCCCGTTATATTAAGCGCCTCTTTGCTTTCTCTCCACAGGAAGGACTTTCCCCAAAAAAGGACAGACGTGTGTGGTGCATTATGTCGGTGAGTTTGACACCAGAAACTTATTACTCTGCACACTCGTGATTGTGCACATTTAGCTGCTCCACTTGTACTCATGAAGGCCGAACAAGTGGAGTGACTGTGGGCAACTGTCTGTATGAAAAATATCCCATAATCCTGCAAGTACCACAGCAAATACTGTCATTGCTCACAGGGGCATTAGTGCACAGACACTGGAGCGCTTCTATAAACGCAGTGGAGCCATGAACTCTGCACACCAGACATTTTTCACCCTCAAACCTCCCAGCCAGTGATTTCTCAGTAGGGCAAAGAGGCATGCCTGTCAGTCACCGACCGGGCTGCGTGAACATGTAACCCCTTCACCGCACTTTCACTCCCTGGAAGCGCATTTGTGTTGTAGATGAGGTGGAGTTGGGAGCGGGAGCGGTGGCGGTGCGTCCCGGGGGCAGCGCACTGCTGGATTCACCGCTGCGTAAAATAATAATAATGCGCGCTCCAGTCCGGGCCGAGCGGTCCATTCTGGTCTCACCAAGACCCGTGGGTAATGTGGTCATTTGTCTTGTCTGGAGAGTTAATTAAAAAAAAGGGAAACGCAGACAGATTCCGCCGTAGGGTTCACTCAGAGGCCCAGACAGACAGACACACAGACAGAGCAGACAGCGGGGTTTTAAATCCCGTCTGATTTCCAGCGCTTTTCTGTCTTTGTTGGAGTTTCTGGGGGGGTTGGTGGTGGCGTTGAGCGGATTATAACCGTCTGGGTTACTGCAATAGTAGCATGCTCACTGTAATATACAGTAGTATAGCTAATGATTATTTTCATTATTGATTCATGCACTGGTTACCTCGATTAATCGATGAATCATTTGGTGTACAGATTGTTGACTCTTGTTTTGTCTGTCCAGCAGCCCAAAAGCCAAGATATTCAGCCTTTTCTCATAAAAGGCTAGAAAACTAGAAAATATAGCTGGAACCAGTGAATTTTTGCTTACAAAATTATTTAAATGATTAATCAATTGTCAGAATAATCAGATTAAGTTACTGTCGAACAACTAATTGATTTCAGCTCTCATTATTTCCTTACAAGACTCTGCCAGTGGCACTGTGAGGTACAGGGCAACAACTAGTCATTAATTGATTTGTTGTCATCTGTTAAATTAATGTGTCATTTAAAAAAAATCTCTGATTCTGTTTTTGAACTGTGAATATTTTCTGGTTTTGCATGTTGATGTTCAGCACATTCACCATATCAGTCTAGCGTGTTAGCGTGCTAATATTTGCAGGTCATAAACCAAAATATTGGATAAATTATAATTCTGACCTGATGATGGCGCTAGATGAATGGGATCAGCAAGTGATTACAGTTCATCAGAGGAAACATGAATGTGTGTACCAAATGCCATTGTCATCCAGTCATTAGTTGCTGACTTTTGACTCAGAGCTACAACTGTTAACCTGATGGTGGCGCTAGAGGAAACGTTAAAGCTGCAGTAGGTAACTTTAACTAAAAAAACAATGCTATGGGTCAAATACCGACAATTTGACTGACATGTGTTTGACGATCTAGGAATGAGACTCAACAATCAA